GTTTTCAAGATTACCATCATATTACTTAGATATATTCGGCTTGCCTCGTTTAAAGTGATGGAGGACTGGTAGTTGAATTTCCCAAAGATCAAATGAGTAGGCCTCGAAAGTTTCTCTCACCCAGACTGCACTGGACTGCAGTTTTGATGTCGCTTCGGTCTCGTCAGCCCCCAAGTCAGACTCGAACCCGGGTTTTCGTTGTGCAACGTATGATCTCGACACGTTGGCCACTGCGCCACGCCTCCACGAGGTAACTTTGATCACAGGGAGGGTGTGTATTTCAAGGAAGGCCTGGACTTTTTCACATATCACCTTCTGTGGTGGTGGTGTCAGTGAAGCTTTTATACGGAATTGTGTAATAACTGGTAATCTCGAAAACCAACATATAAAACGAAAATAAGTACTGCTATATCAAATACAACTTTGCTTCATATAAATTCCATCTCAGAAATGGGATATGTGAAAGGTCTAGGCTTCTCTGGAATTCAAATTTACCTGTCGATCCATGAACCCTCGTCGAAGTTGAGGCTATGTGCTGCACTACCATAATCCTTGTTAGAGTCCGGAGATAAGTTCAGGCGAGATCTAAATAGTTGTGTACTCCAGACTGGATACGATTACCTTCTGGAAATTATTGCAATGGGAAAGTAACTGGAATCATGAGACCTCATTGGATTGTGGAAAAAGTCAATTGACAGTACTTCATCAATTTGAACGAAATTGGTTGAATATAGCTCTGATATTAGACGCACTCAAGTATAACTATCCCGACTAGTATGATATAGAACTAAGCAAATCATTTTTTATTTATATATTTTCGTTTTTAAGTTACGAGTATATATTACAAGTAGGATATATTCCCATAGTCCTCGTGACTTCGAGGTAACGTGGCACTTTGCCAGAGTGTTTTCCAGTTCTGACGATGTTTGTCATGTGGCGAACGAGAGCTCAGCCTATTTTCACTTGACAGAGGGAGGATGCCTCATGGGCTACGTCAATATTAACGTTGCACTGAAGCCAAACACGGCTGCAGACAGATTGTAACCGACCGTCGTCTTCTGGTGAGAGCAATCAACGAATTTCTTCATCAATCACTTTGATTAAGAAGTGAAAGTGTCCACAACAATAACCAAATGACTTTATGCCTTATTAGTAAGCACAGATTTACGGGATATGTAAGCATTTAGGGAAAAGCTGGTGATTTTTCGCCACTTGTTAGGTTGAATATGGCCGTGAGAATGATGTCAATCATAGAAAAGTCTAAGGCTTATCATTTTTCCCCGGAATCGAGACAGATTGAGGTTGAAACAGCTTTGATTTCATTTAGAATAACAGCGTCTTGTGAATAGATTCGAAGGTCGATCCGACCAGAAGACCAGCTGTCGAACAGTTTTACTGGAACATTCTTGCCGACGTTGTTTCCGAAACAATCTGCTACGATTTCGGCAAAAACCTGCCAACTTCTCGTCCGTCGTGTGACGGGCATCATCAGCATAAAGTTTTCTTAACTCGTTAGCTTCAATATGGTTGAGAGGATGATACCATCTGCTCTGATGATGTCCATCATACGACGGACGAAAGCGTGGCCTATTTTCACCGGAATCAAAAGAGGTTTGTCTCGTAGACAGCGTCAAAAAGAATATTTCAGCCAAGCCAATCGACGGCTGGTCGAGAGGAATCCGCCGTCGTCTTCTGGTAGAAGAGAAGCTGTGTTTCGGAGATCCCATTTGTATATTGAGGTTGGAACATGTTTGATTTCATTTAAAATGAGAGGGTCTTGTGAAGATATTCGAAGGTCGATCCGACCAGAAGACCAGCTGTCGAACAGTTTTACTGGAACATTCTTGCCGACGTTGTTTCCGAAGCAATCTGCTTCGATTTCGGTGAAAACGTGCAAACATCTCGTCCGTCGTATGACGGACATCATCAGCACAGAGTTTTCTTAACTCGTTAGCTTCAATATGGTTGAGAGGATGATACCATCTGCTCTGATGATGTCCATCATACGACAGACGAAAGCGTGGCCTGTTTTTACCGGACTCGAAAGAGGTTGCCTCTTTTCAGCCAAGCCAATCGACGGCTGATCGAAAGGAATCCGCCGTCGTCTTCTGGAAGTAATCTCAGCAATTATGCGCCAAGAGACTACTCATAAGCCAACTTTTCTTGGCATACCTTCCATTTCGTTGGAAAAAAAGCCGGTTGAAGTGGTACATCAATTGGCCTCGTCTGATATCGAAGTAGGGTACCAATACGGTCGATGGGAATCCACCGTCGGCTTCTGATGAGTTCCAGCTTCGCACATTTTCATGACACATTTTATATTCGTAAATAAGTAGGGTTTCGAGACTACCAGTAAATCAGTGTAATGAGATGTATTCACCCTATT